AAATTAGGGAGGGCTAGCGCAGATAGCCCTCGCGTAGCTTTGCGCGAAATCCGTAACAAACCAACAAACATTATCACAAACATCTACAAAGGATTATAGTGATATAGATGCACTCAAAATTAGCCTCCTAGCGTATAACGATATCATAATTGCCAAAAGTCTTTGTGAAATATTTAAAACAAAATTCACTGACCTTCATAATTATATGAAAAAAAAATGATCACTTCAGTTAAAATGTAAATGCTTCATTCCAATGCAAAACTCTGTCATTAGGTAAAGACTTATCGAAAATTTGTCCCTAGTATTGGACAGATGTGAATAATAATATTAATATAGCTATATGGTCAAGTGTGGTTTAAAGTCACGTAAATAAAACGCATTAACATAAGAAACATATTAAAGCAATTCATAATTATTGAGTAGGATTCCAATTAGATGAATCTTTAATAAGAATATATTTTTATGTGACTTCCAATTAGATTAATCTTTAATAAGAATATATTTTTATGTGACTTAAAAGCTATCAAAGTTAGGGTTAAGTCGATAAGTTTGCATCTCCAAGGTTCGTAAGCGTTTTTGTTCTGATTACATTTTTAGCTTCTGGAACTGTGACATTGACATTATACTTAAAGTTGATTTCACGTAGTAATTATCAGAATACCGGAATTATTTAATACTAAAGAAAGATAATATGAAGTTTATTACGTTTACCGAATCAGTAACTAGTACTTTATGTTCAGATTAGGTTATTTGTCTATTGTTGTTTTTTTGTTAATACAAAGGAATGAGGATGTGAAATTTATTACGTTTACTGAATCAGTAACTAGTACTTTATGTTCAGATTAGGTTATTTGTCTATTGTTTTTTTTCGTTAATACAAAGGAATGAGGATGTGAAATTTATTACGTTTACAGAATCAGTAACTAGTACTTTATGTTCAGATTAGGTTATTTGTCTATTGTTTTTCTAAAATTCAAACCTGGCGATATTTTGATGTCAAAGGAGGATTACCTGCATGAGCAATCCACTTAATTGGAAAGATACTCCCCAATCCCGGAGTGCACAAAATCTTTAATCCAAGATATGGGGGAGGGGGAATAATAAGTGTGATATAAGAGCCTAAATCTAGGTCACCCACTTCAGTGTTTGCTTACCAGTGTTCGTGCTTATTTTAGATGGGTTCTGACCAGTGTGTTAAGGTACTGCTTGTTATCTTTCCATTGTTAACCGCTGGATTACAAATACAGTACACGCACTAAGTATGTAACTTCGACGTAGAGATTATGGATAAAACGTGGTACTGTGTTGATATTGTATTGTGAATTAAAGTGACACGTATATTCACAGATATATATACTTCTTTGTCTGCTCCAAGTTCCGTTCCTGAAACGATCAGATTGTTCGTGTTCGGCTTTAAGCTTTATATTCGTAGTCGAAATCTAAACTTCTTGTGCCTTGTTAACACGGAAAA